CTTTTCTTGGATCTTACTTTCCCGATATATGTTCAAAGAATGAAAGAGAATAAGCAGCAGAGATGCTAGAATTAAATAAGTTAGAAATTAAAACATCAAGCAGAGAGAAGAATACTTATCAGCAATAACAACAAACCTTCACCATGATAATAGAGAGAAGGGGGGGATGGGATGAGGTGGGAAGACCGTCAATAGATCCACAAAGAGCCCATCTTTCCGAGACCGTCATTACGACCAAAATACTAGGTACTGCCTTTGGATATTTAATATTCAAATGGTTTCTTTTGGAAAAAAATGATCAATAAGATGACGATTAATGTTTTCACCTTCTAAAAGGAATAGGATGAGGGGAAAAGAAAACATGTTTTAATCTACTTGGATATGAGTTTTTTTGTTTTTTATTTTTTTTAGATACGCATGGCCCATCCAAAATCATCATTCAGCAGTTAGCTTTTCTAAATTCTATGGCAGTGAGCCATATGTTTCAGGAATATGTTTGTATTTAAGTAACTACTGTATTTCAGATGGGCCAAAATTGTGAGATAATGAAGTGGTATCTTTAACGTGAATGTGTACACTTTCATGATATAAGGCTCCTTTGTATATTATCAATGCATACAGCAGATCTCACGGGACTCTAATCACGGAGGCAGTGGGATGAAGTGGAAAGAATACCGGGCTGGGAACCAGGAGACCATGGGTGGGCCTGGACCTGTTTGGCTACCCAGCTATGAGAACCTGCACAAGCTGATACCTCTTAACAGGCCTCAGCTTCCTCATCTAAAAGATGCACTTGAACGAGATGATCTCTAGGGTTCTTTCCCACTTTGATGGTCTAAGATTCCAATAAACACTTACCAGTTGAGTGTGAGTGGTTAAGAACTCCACAAATGTCTGAACTACTACCTTTTGAAGTATGTATTTACCTTCCACTGAATGAGGATATATATATTCACATAAACACACAAAAAAATCCTGTTTTAGAGGATAGACTGAATTCTCTTTAGAAATGACTAGGCAAGTCCCAGATCACTGTCAATAGTCAAACTTTCCTAGGCATTTTTAACCATTCCAGGTGCTTGAGAAGAAATCGCTAGGCCACAGGTGCCAACCAGCATGGCAAACTGCATGACCCAGAGCCCCCAGCCCTCTCCCCAAAGCCCATTTGGGTCTGATGAGAGGCTCAGGTTTCTCTGTTCTCTGCTCAGGGATGTTAAAATATAGGCTGAAAATTCTGCATAAAAGACATGGATTCCTATTTCTCCCTGTTGACCCATGGGAGAGTGTAACGCAGATCTTTGAGTTTCAAACAGTGATATTTTGGGGGGGAAAGGAAGAGATACAGTTTAAAACTCGTCCTCAAGAGGATCGGGGAGCACTGGATTAGTCATTTAGTGAAAACTTCATTAGGCAAGGGAGCCAAACCAAGGCTATGTGAGTTCTGAGAGATTTCGCTGGCCAGGCTCGCACAAGCAAAGCCACAGCACCCACGTGTCTGCTTGCGGCACATAATGCAGGCAGGCTGTCCTGTCATTTGCTCTTTGAGGGAAATAAAGTTGTCGTGGTTACTTTGAAATTAGATTAAGCTGTAACAACTAAATCTGAAAGAACATGTTTGCTCACTGAACTTCTCATTTAACCCTGTTACGTATAACAGACCCAGTCATTTCCAAGGTATTTCTATTTTTCTCAATTGCTTCCAGACAGTTTTGTGGTTTTGACTTGTGCTGATCTTTTTCAATGAAAATAAATGAACCATCTGGAAAAATAAGTACACATAAAACATCACTTCCTACGTTTTAAAATGTTAAATTTGGAAATCTTTTTTCTTCCAGAGAATTTTTGGTGCCAACAGGTTTAATAAAAATTCCCAAAGAACTTCTGGAGAAGCAAAACCATGCTCTGTGTTCTTCTGATGGCTTTCTGAATGGTGAAAAACAGACACACACTGCTGTCCCCAATTTTTCCCCTAGCTGAGAGCAAGCAGCCACCTCATAACCACATTCCTTGGAAAGGTGCTAGGACTTCTACCCTCCTAAATCCCCAACAGGAGTGTCCTATCAGGGGCAGAGTGCAGTGAAGCACACCTCACACGCCTTATGGAAGAGAAAGCAACCTGCAGCTCCTGGCCAGGGCAGAGACAGGGCATTTCTGCCCACTCAGGTGGCACTCAACCTGGCCTGCAGGAAGAAGCACACTATGGCATGGACAGGTATCGTCGCCGAGTGGATGATAACAGCATCTCTCATCCCTGTGCTCCAGACCTTGTGCTGGAGTTATCCCCGCACTCTCACTTGGTACTTGCAACCACCTTCAAGCAGGTACTATTACGCCCTACGTATGAGGCAGGACACGGAAGCATTCACCTCTTCCCCCAGCTTGGGACAGGCATGGCTCCTAATAGTGGAGAGCTGAGCAAAGGTTTCAGGAGTCCAGTCTACTGTTGCTCCTCACTTTGAAAAAAGGCTGTGAGCTGAGCCCTCCGAAACCCTCATCTAGATAACCCATCACCTTTACAGGGGCAGGCCTGGGAGTAGGAAGAAGTGTTGGCCAGCATGGTGTCACAGCAAGAAAAACAGACTGAAATCAGGAGGCCTGCATGCGAGGTCTCATGCCACCACTTACTTTGTTTATCTACAAGAGAAGATTCTCTCTTCTTCCAAATCAGAAAGGCACATCACTACCCGCCCCTCTCAGGGATCCAAAGTCACAACCCAAGGCAAAGTCTATAGCGAACCACAAAGGCCTCCATGGCCATCTGCAGAACCCTCAGCTGGTACACAGCAACTCACCTTGCAGCATTTCGGTCCATAATCCTAAGACCCACCCGGAAGAAAAAAATCAACAAAATCCTAGCTTTAGGAAACAAAACGTGCTTACTGGGCACTCCTGATACTAGTCGAAGTGGTCGTAACACTCGAAAGGCACGGAGGGCTTTGACATCAAAGCCTCCCGATTTGCCACTAGAGTGGTTACCGCCTTCTGTTTCTTTGGTTAATTGTTCCAAAATTACACTAAACAATCTGAAAGAAGAAGAGAGAGAGAAATGTTAGAGGCTGTCACCCAGGGAAGCAAAACAGGATGATAATAGTAGTTATTTTTAAACAAGGGCTAATTTTGTATGGCTGCTGCTTAAACAAAGGGAAAGCAAGGTCAAGGCAAGAACCGGGCTGTGAATCCTGAAAGTGACCCCTACGTCTAACATGACTGGGGACAGGAATTGACCTCTGTATCCCTGCCAATGGGGCGTCCTCAAGCACACTGGCCCCCACGGAAGAGGGGGCTCACTGGGGCTCCAGTGACGACAGGTGGAATTGCACCAACAGAAATAACAACAACAATCATAACGATTACCATTTATGAGTACTCGCTATGAGCTAAGCACTTTACATAATCTCATTAATCCTCACAAAATGTTAGTCGGAATTATTATCAGCACCATTTTACATGAGGAAACAAACATGAGAACAAGTAACTTGCCCAAGTTCATACAACTAATGGCAGAACTAACATGTGAATCCAGGTACAGTGCCCCATTAGGATGTAGGTTCCATAAGGGCAGGGAATTTTTGTCTGTTTTGTTCATTCAGTCACTTCTAGCCTAGTGCCTAAAAAAGGTCCTGATGTTTAAGAGGCGCTCAAAAAATATTTGCTGAATAAACCAATGACTAAATATTGATTTCAAAGCCCCGTATCTTAATTATGTTAGACACCACCTCCGCCCTCGTGGGTTATGTTTGGGGAATGATGTAAATCACAGATGCTAAGGAGCTGTGCGAAGGCCAAAAGAGTAACCTCAGGTATTAATATCGTCATTTTCTCTTTTGAAATGTGAATAACATTGTATCTGGCAGCCACGACAAGTTTTTCCCTACTCTCAGAAGGTTTTTTTGGATAAAGTTATTTTCAGGCAATCTGCTCATTTGATAGTTACTTTTGCTCTTTCAAATAAACATTTATTCTTTGGAATTGTTGCTTGTTTTTCAAGATAAATATAAATTTGCCCATTTCAAATAGAATCAACTCTGGCCAATCAGATTGTGGACATGATTGGCCCAGAAACAAAGAGAAGGTTTCTAAAGTTTAATTAGCAGCCAAAGCAGAAACTCTGCCCCCACTGGCATGTCTCCGGATTGCCAAGTCCATAAAATACAGGGTGGTCTGATTTGCAGTCCTGAAATCAGGTCATTTTGGGGCTTTAAAGACCAGTCATCTGCTTTAATAACAGTACAGCAATTAGCAGTGAACCCAGTTTGGGGGTGGGGGTGAGGAGGGAATAAGTCAGGTCTCTATATCTTTTCAAAGTTTCAGATGACAGGTTTCTCTCATTATCATAGGTTTTTTTAATTCCTGTAACCTCCTGCAGCAAGGCTAAAGTTAAAAGTCTTCCTCCAAAACAAGTTCATAGCTTTACAAAAACAAAGAAAAGGGAAGAAAGAAAACCTCAAACTTTCCTGAAATGTAGCAGCCACAGGAATTTTCACCCCAAAGGCTTAGGAAAGTAATTTATGCAGGTGGTGACTTAAGATTGCTTTCAAGTATCAGTGTTTTGCAATGTACATTTATGGTTCTTTATCTCATTCTTCAGCAATGTCCTTGAAAACAGGTGAATAATGTCTCTCTCTCATTGCAGAGGAGCCTGAATCAGAGAGAGAAGGTGGCTGCCATTCCAGAAAGCCAGGAGTGAAAGAGGTCAGGGCTGGCTTCCACTCCTAAGAGTTAGGAGCCATTAGGAAAAGTCCCTCTTTTTTTCTGGGCCTTAGTTTCCCCTTCTGAAAATGAAAAAACTGGATTAAATGATCCAGAGACCCACCCCGTTTCCCATTCTAATGTTGTGATTCTATTCCCTTCACCATCGGCCCCCACCCAAAAAGTACCATGTGCCATTTGATCCTAGATCATTATTAAAAGTTTACCTCAAGACAGAAGAAAAGAGGCAAGGACTACTTAACCTAACACAAGTTAGAAGCACCCCATGAATGAGCACCCCATGTTCTTCTTCACAAAGCCTAACTGGTAAGTCAAATGCCCGAAATATATGTTTATTGAAAAATTAGAAGTGTGGGATAAAAGTTGGCTCAAATCAATCTTTTCTAAACAGGGAATATCAGCTCTGGTAGACACATTGAGTCCTCCTGTGGGCACAGTATTAACAGTTAACATTTTAGAAATATCAATTACTTTCTTGATGTCTGTTATTAGGAGTCTTGACAAAAGCAAGAGGTCATAGTTGACTTGGAACGGAAAATCTATTGGATTGAGATACAGTCCACTCTGACTTTAATTTAGTGCATATTTTAGATTAATAACCTGATGTTCTAAAGTTTTTCATATTTAATGAGAAAAAAAGACTATGAGTCTAGTTCTACTTTAATTTCCTTGATGATTTTCTTTTACTTTTTAAATCACTATTGCTGCCAATTTACATATAATAAAATATACCCATTTAAAGTATATAAGATGAGTTTTAACAAAAGTGTGTAAGTCCAAGTAACAAACACCACGATCAAGATATAGAACATCTCCAGTATCTCCAACAGTTTCCTCATGCCCCTTTGCACTCATCCTGCCTCCAAGTACAGCCTTAGGTATCCACTGATTGATTGGCTGATTATCACTTAGGTTGTTTTTTTCCCTTTTCTTGAATCTTGCATAAACGAAATCATAAAGCATGTTTTCCCTTTTGTTTATCATCTTTTGCTCACCATGTTCCTGAGTCATCCAAGTTGTTACATTTATCAGCAGTTCATTTCTTTTTAGTGTTGAGTGATATTCCATTCTATGAATAAACCACAGTGAGTTTATCTGTTCACTTGTTGATATTTGGGTTGTTTCCAGTTTTTCTCGATTATGAAATAAAGTCTCTTTGTGAACATGTATTTCCCCTTGTCTTGGATAAGTACCTAATAGTAGTACTGGTAATATGGTCATATGATTAGTGTATGATTCAATGATTCATACTGTAAGAAACTGGCAAACTTTTCCAAAATGATTGCACCATTTTCCATTTCTACGGGCAGTGTACAAGAGTTCCAGTTGTTCTACATTTTGGTTAACATTTGGTATCGTCAGTCTTACACTGAGTAATGCTAATAGCTATATAACTGCTGTCATTGTGGCTTTAATTTCCATTTTTCTAATTTCTAATGATGAACATCTTCTCAGGTGCTTGTTGACCATTTACATATCTTCTTTTGTGAAGATCTGTTCAAAACTTTTGCCATTTACATACTAGGTTGTCTTCCTACCACTAAGTTGTAAGAATTCTCTATATATTCTGAATACAAATCTTTTATATGTATTGTGAATATTTTTTCCCAATCTGTGCATTATTTTTCATTTTCTTTAAACTGACTTTTGAAGAAAAGTTTTAAATCTTGGTAAGGTCCAAAATTTCAGTTATTTCTTTTATGGCTAGTACTTTATGTGTCCTAAGAAATCTCTGCCTACTCCAATGTCATAAAGTTTTCTCCTAAAAATTGTATAGTTTGAGCTTTCACATATAGGTCTAGGATCCATTACAGTAATATTTGTATATAGCACGAGGAAAGAATCAAGCCTTTTTTTTTTTTATGGGTAAACAGTTGTTTAGCACCATTTACTAAAAACAGTTTCCTTGACCTATTGAACTATTGTCTAAAATCAATTTTATGGGTCTATTTCTAGTCTCTCTATTGTTTCATTGATTTTTATGTCTACTCCTTATGCCAAAATCACACTGTCCTGACGACTGTGCTTTATAGTAAGCCTTGAAACCAGATTTTAGCTTTGTTTTTAAAGATTTCTTTGGCTAGTCTAGAGTCTCTCTAATTTCTATATAAATTTTCAAATAAATTTGTCAATTTCTATGACAATCTTGCTGGGATTTAGATTAGGATTTGATCTATAGATTAATTTAGGAAGAACTGATATCTTAACAATAATGAGTCTTCTAATCCAAAAACATTGTCCATCATTCCATTTATTTAGGCCTTCTTTACTTTTTCTCGGCAAGGTTTAGTCATTTTCAGGGCACTACTCCTAAATACTTCATGGTTTTTGGTGTAAATAGTAGTCTTTAAGTTTCCATATTCCAGTTGTTCATGACTAATACAGAGAAATTCACAGGCTTTTTCATACTGATCTTTTACCCAGAAACCTTGGTAAATTCATTCAGAAAACATAACTTTGATTTTAATCTTTTTAAATAAACTGAGACCTGCTTTATGGCCCAGAACTAGTCTCGCTTGGTGAATGTTCCATATGCACATGAAAAGAATGTGTATTCTGCTCTTGTTGGTGGAATGTTCTAAAAATGTCAAGTAAGTTGATGATGGACTGTTCAAATCCCTGTATTGTGAGTGATTTTCTGCCTATGTATTCTATCAACACTCCAAGAATATTAAAATATATAACTATAATTACAGATTTGTCAATTCCTTCTTTCAGTTCTAGAAGTTTTGGCTTTGTGTATTTGAAGCTTTGTTATTAGGCATATGTATTTAGAATCATTACATCTTCTTGATAAAATGATTCCTTTATCATTATGAAATGTTTCTCTTTATCCCTGATAATACTCCTTGTTCTGAATCTATTTTGTTGGATATTAGCATAGCCACTCTAGCTTCTTTTGATTAGTTTTTGCATGCTATGTATTTTTCTGTCTTTTTACTTAAAGTTTGTTTCTTATAAACACTATAGACTAGAAACTTGTTTTTTACATATAAAATCTGATGAACCCTGGATTTTAATAAGGATTTAGCTGGGTTTAAATCTGCCATCATGCTATTTCTTTTCTATTTGCTCTGTCCGTTGTTCTTTTTTTCTTCTTCCTTGACTTTTTTGGATTGAGCTTTTTAAAAAAATTCCATTTTATCTCCAATAGAGGTTTGTTGGCTATATCTCTTTATTTTTCTAGTGGCTCTTCTAGAGAAAATGTCAGCAAAAATTTTCTGTGAAGTGCCAGATAGTCCCTATTTTAGAATTTGCAGGCCATAGAGTCCATCACAACTACTCAACTTTGGCATCCTAACACCAAATAACCGTGACATGAGTGAGTGTGACTGTCTCCCAATAAAATTTTATCTACCAAAACGGACAGCAAAATACTCTGTCAATGTGAAGCAGAGGGTGAGGGGAAGGAAGGGCAATAAACCAGATTTGGTCTATGGGCTGAAGTTTGCCAGCCTGTGCTTGGGAGTTTACAATATGCGTCTTTAACTTATCACAGTCTACCTTCAAATAATATTTTACTACTCCCCCTACTGTACAAGCACTTTGTAATAGTATACACCTCTTTTCCCTTGTTCCTGTGCTTTGGCTATTGTCATATATTTTACTTTTATAGAAGTTACAAACCCCCCAAGACATTGTTATTGGTTTTGTTTTAAATAATTTTTAAAAGATTTTAAAATTAGAAAAAAATTTTAATATTTATCCATACATTTACCCTTTCTGGCATTCATCATTCCTTGTGTATAGATCCACATTTCTATCTGGTATCACTTTCCTTCAGTGTGAAGAAATTTCTTTAACATTTGTTGAGGTGCAGGTCTACTAGTGATGAATTCTCAGCTTTGGTTTGTCTGAAGTGTTGTTTTTTTTACTTCGATTTTTAAAGATATCTTCACTGAATAAGAATTCTAGCTTCCCTAGCACCCTAAAGACATCTCTCTAGTGTTTTCTGACTTGCACAGTTGCTCATGAGAAGTCTGTAATGTCTTTTTTCTCTGCTTTCAAGATTTCCTCTTTGTTTTTGAGCAATTTGATCATTATAATGTGCTTCGATGTAGCTTTCTTCATGTTTATTTTGCTTGGGCTTTGTTAAGCTTCCTGGCTTTATGAGCTCATATTTTCATCATATTTAGAAAATTTGGAGTCATTTCTTCAAATATTTTTTTCTGTCTTCCCTTTATATCCTCTCTTCTGGGACCTCAAATATATATAAACATTATATGCATATACATACATACACATACATATATATATATATATACACATACATACACATTAGACCACTTGATTGCCCTAGAGGTCACCAAGGCAGTGTTCATTTTTCTTCTCCATCATTACTCTTTATGTTATTACTATGTCTTCAAGTTCCTTGATTTTTTTTCTTCTATTGTGTCAAATCTGTGGTTAAGTCAATCCAGAAAAAAATTTTTTTCATTTCAGATATATTTTTCAGCTCTTGAAGTCCCATGTGATTTTTCATGTTGTCTCATTTTTCATTATTGTAGTCATACATTCCTTTAAGTCCATAAACATATTTATAATAGCTGTTTTTAAAGTTCTGTAAGGTAGCTCTCTACTAATTCCATCACCTCTTGTCATTTCTATGTCTGTTTCTATTGATGGAATTTCCTCCTGGTTGTGGGTCACATTTCTTCATATGTCTAGAGATATTTGAATGGATGCTGGACATGTTGATAAGTGTCTGGATTTTGTTGTCTTCCTTTAAAAAGTGTGGAATTATGTTTTGTCAGGCAATTAAGCTACTTGCATATCAGTTTCAGGCAGTCCTTATTCTAGAGCAGAGGTTAGCAAAACTTTTTTTTGTAAAGGGCCAGATATTTTAGCAAACATTTTAGGCTTTGTGGACCTACACTACTCAACTCGACTCTGCAAATAAATATGTGACTGTGTTACAACAAATTTTATTTACAAAATTTGGTGGCAGGCTGGATTTGGCCCGTTGGCCATAGTTTGCCAACCCCTGCACTAGAGCTAGTTTATCCTTACTACTAATGGCCCTTCTGGGGTCTCTGACAGTCCAGGGTGCTCAATGACAACTTTATATTCTGGTTGGTCTTCCCTAATAGTGTTCTTTTCCTGGACTCATGGAATCTCACCCCATGTAATCAGAGCTTAGTCTGCAGCCAAACTCAAGAGGACCCCAAGGCATATACATAGAGCTCTTTCTCTCAAAGCTCCCTCACTTCTCACACTATGCCTCTCAAATTTCAGTCATCTCAGCCTCCCAGAACTCTTGTTTCTGTCTCAACTTAATGAGACCACCACACTCTGCTTGGTTCCCTGTCTTTGTGACATACTATAGTCTGAAAAATGTCTCCAGGCAGAAAGCCAAGGTGATTGCAGGGTAGGGGCAAAAGAAATTGAGCTAAGCATCTCCATCCTCTAGCTGAACAGAAAGCCCAGGGTCAGGAGAAGCACAACAAGTTTATTCAAGAACCAAGAGATCTGAAAGGCTCTTGCTAGCCATTCCTTATTAGAATTCACCAAATACAGGAAGGTGTGGTATATATCTACCACCTGTTCATTTTAGATGCACTATTTTTCAGTAATTCCTTAGATGCCAATGTGCTATGGTGGTTTTTGCAAAAGCTAAGTTTTTCCCCATAAGTCTAATTATCTCACTGGACCACTGTTTTGGATCATTTTTAACTTCCTAGGTTTGAAATGAAATTACAAGCTGAAAATTTATCCCACTCTCCCAATATCCAGCTGTATTTTAGTCTCCCATGAAAAGCCAAAGGAGTCATGATAAAAGAATAATCCAAAAGAAAAGTCACTTTACTGAACTGTAAAAGGTAAGTGAACAAAGTCACAGAGATGGAAACAGAGGCCATTTAACAATCTCTCTCTATACTACCAAATATAATTTTAGGAGCAACCCATTTTATAGCTAGGTAACTAAGATTCTACAATAGAATATATCTCATTTTCCTGTGTGGGTATCTGGTCCAAAGACCTAGCATTCCTCTGACATTGATTCATTTTTCTCTTGCTGGCAACATTTCTAGGTGTGGAAGGACCAGAATAACTCAGGCCACTGTTTTGTATAACATTCTCCTTTAAATGAAACTGTTGGTGTCTTCTTCCTGTGACAGGATTTCAGGAGAATGCCTGCTTCTCTGCATTGTCTGGCTTATTTCATTTCAAGCCAGATATCTGACATTATTCAGACACTTGTTTTGTTATTTAAAATGGGATAGGAGCATGCCAAAGTTTTTTCCCACAAGTCAGCAGAAAGAATTAATAGCTTTGCTTAAGGATGTTAAAGAACAGAGTACCTCACTGCTATAAGAATTTATTGCTTTTTTACTGTTTTGTTTTGTTTTGTTTTTTAACTTAACAAGGTGCTAAATATAAGAGCTCTACACATTTGACTCAAACCACCAGCAGGGCTGGCCTATTTGTGGAAACCAGAGGCCTTGTAAGATGAGCCCTCTCACACTAGGAGCTTAGACTTCCTCCTGTAACGGCCTTGCTGAAAAGGGGAGTGAAAACTATGAGGGAATTTCAAATCAGTTTTGCCCAGGCATTGACAGCAGCATCACCAGTCTTCAAGAAACTCCTGACAGGTTCTGACTGCAATCACTGACCTAAAGGGGTAACCATAATCCCTCAAAAAACACTGTTTTCTGTTACCACCTCCAATTTTCCAAACATTTCCCCAAAATAAAAGAGACTTACCCTACTATTACTATAACAAAATCCAGTAAATTCCATCCATTCCTAACATAAGCATTAGGATGTAGCAATAATCCATATGCTATAATCTTCAAAAATGTCTCGACTGTAAAAATAATCAGGAAGGCATATTCTACTTTTTCCTGTGAAGAGAAACAAAGAAACAAAATGGGGTAGAGAAGAAGAAGAAGATAAAAAAAAAATAGGGATTAGAATCAATATCTCATATCCAAGCATTTTTCTCCAAGCAAAGTTTTATTATGAGAAATGGAACAATTAACACTGCACCTAGGCCAGGAAGGCATTTTAATTCTAACTGAATTTCTCATAAGCAACTAAGTGTAAAACACTTTTCATTCTGGACTGCATGATTGCATTTTGCCACCTGTCCTGATGCATGTGCAATGAGTCTGCCTAGGACATAACAGGCATGTTTGTTATTTGCACACATTTGCAAAACGCAGCATGTTTTCCTCCTGAGATTGCCAAATCAGGCCCAGAAAAGCACGAGGGTACAACAAAGCTTCTAACAGAGGCTTTGAACAGAACGTCCTCTGGAAGAAAGGAAGACGTGTCCGTTCTTGGGTTTACGTGTGACCTCTAAGTCAGGGTCAGCTTTATCACTGAGCAGCAAGGTGACCTTGGCAAGCCCCTCCTCCCCTCTGGATCTAAGTTTCCTCATCCACAGAGTCAAGGAGTTGAATTCAGGATGGCACACCCATTACCTGCTTATTGGCATGCCACCTCTCCAGGATGGCACTGCTGAGCCGTCACCACGCATGTTCCCAGAAGCCTGGGCTCAGCCTCCACACCTTTTTTCCTACCAGCCCCAGCAATCACTTCCATCTAATTGCTACAGACCTCCGAGACACTGTCCTGAGGCTAGATGGCTCTTAGAACCTCTCCGGTTCCAACTCATGCAACCCCATGAGTATAGAAAACACATCCATCAGCAGGTCTAAAAATTTTGACTCTTTTCTACTTTATAGTTTTTCTTGATACAGCTTCAGTTTTAATAGAAATATGTAGCAACTGGGATGTGTATGATTAATTTCACAAGAGGCATTCCCTGGCAGGAAGCTACTAAAATAATAACTAAATGAAAAATCATCAGTAATTAAACTTTTTCACATGGGCCATAAAGTCCTCTACTAATATTAATTCTACTCTGTGGGACCTGAGGAGAGTTACCAAAATTAGGAAAATGGAAGTCATGGAATTCATTTATTAAGATGCCTAGTGTAAAAGGTCAAATAAATTTGGCCCAGGAAACAATGAGCACCTCTTCTGCCTGACAGGCCTCATATGAGGAGCCAGAATTAGAAAAATGTCTCCATTACGGTCCCTATCCTCAAAAGGTTTAGACTGGTAGGGAAGCGTGCAAATTTCTAACATGCACACAGAGAAGTCCCAAAAGAGGTAAGTGACAAAGAGCAAGCCTGCATCTTTCGCCCTCTGATAAGGCATAAAGGTCAGTCTACTTCTTCCCTGCAAGGATTTTGCTTTGCTATATGTGACTGCTATTTTGCCTAAGCCACCCTGGGCTCAAGCCATCTGCCTCCAGAGTACTGCCCCTCTGCTGCTGGCCAGCTCTAGTCCCCAGCTGAACTTCCACATGTCTTGCCACTGCATCCTTCCTATTTACTACCAGAGAAACCATCCTCATTCTCAATTCCCCACTGGTCATGCCGGAAAGCCAGGTCATCAATGTCAGGGAACATCCTTCCCTGGTCCCTGACATTCCTAACCTGCCCTCCAGAGTGCCCATTGATCCTCGGCACACCATCATAGCAGTCTAATAAATTGTTTTGTGGTATGAGTTAGCCAGAGTCAGTGTGTTTTCAATTTTAAGAGCCTAGTTCGATATGCACCCCTATGTTCATTGTAGCATTATTTACAATAGCCAATATATAGAAACAATCTAAGTATCCATCAACAGATGAATGAATAAATAAGATATGGTACATATATACAATGGAATATTACTCAGCAATAAAAAAGAATGAAATCTTGCGATTTGCAACAACTGACATGGACCTAGAGGATATTATGCTGACTGAAATAAATTAGAGAGAGACAAATACCATATGATATAATTTATATGTGGAATCTAAAAAAACTAAAAAGAATAAACAAAACAAAAACAGACTCATAGAAAGAGAACAAACTGGTGGTTGCCACAGGGGAGGGTGGTAGGGCGCTAGGTGGAATAAGAGATACAGAATTCCAGTTATAAAATAAATAAGCCAGGGGGATGCAGTGTATAGCACAAGGAATATAGTCAATAATATCGTAATAACTTTCCATGGTGACAGATGGTTACTAAACTTATCAAGATAATCACATCCTAAAGTATATAAATGTGAAATCATTATGTTGCATACCTGAAACTAATATAATATTGTATTCCAATTATATTTTTATTTTAAAAAAAAATTTAAGCCTAGCTCCTCCTCAAGCTCCATACCCATGTCTCCTCCAGAGCTTCCAGGTCTTCTGGAGCTGGCTCACCTCATGCATCCTACCCCTTCTGCCAGGCTGCAAAGACATTCCTTAACCAGACCCTCACCCCCACTCCCCTACCTGCCCTACCTCCAACATACAGCCAAGCACTCCAGGCTGGGATGAGAAGGCTTGTAAAATGCAGCCAGAGCAGCAGCATGCATGATCCCTTCCTGCCACACACAGACCTCCAACAAACCCATTTACTCTCCATATTCCTTCAATCTCACAAACAAGGGCTCCTCTTCCTGTTCACTGCCATATCCTTGAGTGGGGTGCTGCCACGAGGTACACTCATACCGCTGTGTATGATCTGAGGAAAAGGTTCGACATTGCTACTGGGTAGGGAGGAGAGAGAGAGGAGGGCTTCCAAGAGGCAGTGACTTTAACTTTGAGAGCTAAAAGGAAGAGCAATTCTGTTGCTTTAAGCAGAAGCAAAAATCCCTGAAAATACCAATCAACTGTACTGCATTGAAATTAGACTCTGACCACCAAATGTAGATCAACAATATGTTTTAGAGACTTAGAGTTCTAAGGGAACAAGTTAGCTGAAAACAGCATGCTGTTTTTACAATTTTGCTTCTCTTTTCATCCTTTCCGCTTTATTTACTAGGCCAGATAGGAAAAAAAAAGTCTTTTGCTGACATCAATATTCATAGCAGTTACATCTCTACATCAATACAGCGCTATACTTTTTGGGGAGAAAAACAAGGCAAGGAACAGAGAGTACACCTACCAAACGCAGCTTGTTTTTCCTCTTTGGCTTTTATTTATAAACAATTTTGCCACAATAATACAAGGGCCATTAGTCTAACTGAATTGTTTAGGGTTCTTTTATCCCCTTCTCTTGTCCTCCGCGCTCTCCTTTTTAAAGAACTTGGTTTCTCTTTCGAAAATCCTCAGTGCATCACTTGATGGAATTGATTATAAGAAATACAACCTTGCTTTAATGGGATTCTTTATTACAGAGGTGCTACCATAATTGCCAACTAAGAACAATCACCGCCTGGAGAGCATGACAGATCAGTTTGCCTAGAAGCCAATGTCCTTCTGGTCCCCAATCCTACTATTAAAAAGGAGTCCTATAAAACAAATACGCCTCCACATTAAGCAAATGTAGTGTAAAAAAAAAAAAATCCTGCAAAACAACCATTGGAAGGGGAGGTAATTATTTACTTCACAAAAGACTTGCTCATTTGAGAAAATAATGTTGAGTTAGTAATTTGAAAAAGGAAGCCACCAAGAAAGTCAGGTTACCGACTAGGTGAGGTGGGAATGGGGACCCACCTAAAGGAGCCTGTGAGATGTCACACAGAGAAGATATGGAGTCTGTGGCCAGGATAGAGAGCATGGAGGAAGAAACAGTAGCAAGGATGAAGGAAAGGGATGGCTGAAAAGAGGCAAGCGAGAACCATCCAGAACTGGACATGAAATGAAGTGTCCCCTGGGCAGAGGCTGTACCTTAAAGCTCTATACCAGGCTAAACAAAAAGAGTAAATGATTCCTCCATCCTCGATCCCTGCATTTGCCAGGCAGAGTCACGTGCCTGCGGCACCCACTCAGCCACCAGCAGGGATTCCTCTCACTGACGGGGGATCCCTGGGTGGGCAGGGCTAGTCAAACACCTTTTTAAGAAACAACCAGTTATATGGATGAATGTCCCGCCATGATACCTCAGGCCACGAGAGGAATATAGAGGCTCGATATCTAATTCTGAAATCTGATTTATCTTCTTTAAACAGTGATGTGTCACCAAACAGGAGCGGCTCTAAACCAGCAGTCTCTAAACCAGTCAATTCTACACAAAACCTTGAGAAACAGAAACTGCAACTAGCAGGGAGTGGGAGATGCCAGGATCCTTAACTTGGTTGCACTTGAACTTATCTGATCCTTGTACTTGGTTGTCAGCTCTCCTATTCTCAAGGTTCCTTTTACTAGTGCTGTAGTATGAACATCTATCTATCTATCTGACTATCCAGCTTACCAGCCAACCCTGAGCACCTGGGTCCTCCTCATAATACCGATCCTTCACAGAACTCCCAACTTGTTAGCGAAAGGTCAACAAAGGCTTGATAAGCCTGGTATGATTCATCTCTATGTTTTGCTCCTCTACCCACATGCCTAAGTCTTTGGAATGGTCTCCTGGCTTATACCCTGGCAGTAGCTGCTCTCTCCCATAGAGATACACATCCCTTCTGTGTCCTGCAGTCCTAGGCTCCTCATTGGCAGGGACCATCTCTTACTGTCTTTGTAACCCTAGCACCTAGCACCACATTGGGCATAAAGTACTCATAGGTGCTAACAGGAAGTAGAAAAGAAAAAAAAAAAGGAGGGAAGGAATAAAACAACAGAACTGGAATCAAATGGGGGGCTATAAAAACATGAGGTTTTGTGATCTTCAGATATGTATTGAAAAGCAAAACAAGTAGGGAGGAATCTAAGTTACCATAAACTCTTTCTAGATTAAGCCTGGAATAAATGGTCAGACTGCTGAGATAATGGCTTCTCACTTCTCACCTGACCCTCCCTTTCAATCCCAACCTGAGCCCCCTGGGTAAGGTCCTCATCCCTCCCCTCTTCTCTAGTTTCCCCTCCTCACAGCTCTCCTGTGAGAGCCTCCACTCCAGCGGATGAGCCAACC